CCCCTGCCCCTGCCCCTGCCCCTGGCGCCTGATCAGCGTCTCCAGCTCGCTTTTGACTGCCGGGTCGGCGCAGTGAGCCACGCCCACGACCGCCAGCCTGCCGGGGTCCCACACGCAGTCCTCCTCGCAGCGGCCCGGCGAGGGCGGCAGCCAGGCCGTGTCGTACCCCTGCTGGTGCCAGCTCGTCTGCAGGAGCGCGCCGTGGCCGTCGATCTTCTTGACCCTGCCCACCCGGACGCGGAGCAGGAGGACCACCCTGTCGCCGGGGCTGCAGGAGCCAGGGTAGCCCATGGCCTTGCTGATGTCCCTGCTGCAGTAGACGCCCGGCCCCAGCGTGCCTCCCGAGGACGGCCGGAAGCCGGAGGTGACGATGGCCCGGGCGCTGCTCTTGTGCGTCCCGTGGTACATGGTGTAGCCGTGGCCCCGCTTGGGCGCCTGGCCCGGCTTCAGTCGCCGCCCGTCCAGCCGGCTCTCCCAGCCACAGAAGCTCAAGGCCATCCAGGCGCTTGGAGAGGGACAGACAAGATGGCGTGAGTCTGCGGTGGCCAGCTCGGGGGGGGTCACGACGGGCGATGGAGACGCCACGGCGCCCGGGCGATATGTTTCTGACCACAGGTAAGAAGCTTTACTCATGAAAGCTGCTGAAATTGGACCACAAGCAGCTTTTCTAAAGCCCCCCAATACTGCTCCACGCTGCAAGAATTCTGAGAATAAGAGTTTTTATTTCAGTGAAGTTGAAGCAGGTAGCGTTTTAAGACGCATTGAAGGAAGAGAGGGACTCTTAAAACTGCTTTTGTGCCACATGAAGAAAACATCAATACAGGCAGAAATAGTCATCTTGACACACCTCTGTCAAGAAAGCGCACTTGGCTCTCGCGTTGCTCTGAAGATAGTCGCGGATAAATTGAGATAAAAGTTCTTGATGAATTCAGCTTAGTAAGCCTTAATTGTAAACCTGTTACCGATTTGCACCACACCTCAGTTTGTAAAAGATTCAGGACGGGTTCAACGTGGTCATTGAATCTCAATAGTCTTCCGTGTATTGTTCATACACAGATGAATACCGTTAGGCTACCTTACAAACAACACTTAGCTGCAATATTTTCCCTTGATGTGTCAGATTTAGTAAAAGACTTATTTTTATATTAAACATAAAGGATAAATTCACGGAAGTCTTACCTTTTTACGCGGCCCTTGTTTTCAGTTTTTAAATCACTGTCCTGGGGCGGAGCGGTAGTTTTTACAGACTTCTTTCACTTTCATTTCTGTAAGTTATTGCTTCGCATTTGGATCTTTGCCAGGTACTTTCCCACAAACTCGCTTTACGCACCTTCGCCGGCGCAGCTGCGTTAAGTTTCCGTTTGCTTAATCCAAGGAAAACACATTGAAAATCGTGGAACTAAGTTCTGAACTTCATTCTACAAAAGCGGAAAAGAAGTTTCGGGAAATAAGCAATTTTTTGAGACTCACAGATGATGATGTCTCAGAAATTATTTAGTTATTTAGCAACAAGGGGCGCAAGACAAGACAGCGTGGAGATGACGCACGTCTGTCTAGGGACCCGCACACCTTGCGGTTGGGAGACGCTGATTAACCTAGAAAGCACGTATTGGACCGTAGTAGAAAGACGGACTAAACCCCACGGTTTTCCACGTTATCGTAGCTCAGGACATAATGTAATATCACCAAGTAAAAACTTTTGTGCTTGTGCCTGCTACTTTGTGCGCTTTTGAGAGCTCATTTTTGTGTGGCGAGCGCTTGACGCTGTGTTAGCTGCGCTGAACTGAGGAAGGAAGCAAGAACAGTGCTGTTGTGACAAGAACTTTATTAAAGGCGTTTGGAAAGGACAGTCAGTTTTAGCTTTTGCAGACACACTTGGAGTATTGGTAGTAGCTGTTATACAGGTTAAACAGAATTTAGAGGAGTGATTACACTAGTAGTTCAAAGTTTTACTTGTTTGCATATGTACTGGTTCACATATTTGTTTTTTTTTAACTTTGATTTACAAGATCATATAAAGACAGTGTTGAATATGACAATATCAAGGTTTGATAATGAACAGAAATATACCTGAGCAATAGACTTCTTAATAAAGCATTGCCAGTCAGTGCAGCCTAAGCAGATACTGTAGTTATCTGTCAAGGAAAACAAGCTAAGTACAGAGTCTGTAGAAGGGCTTACAACAAAACAGCACAGGAAGGACAGCAATGAAGAGCAGCTTTTCTCAGAATGGCTGTATAGGTCTTGAAACTGCTAGGACTTCAAGCCTTTTTTACTTGAGCAGTAGCAAAAAATAGCAGTGGGCAGTGTCCAACAAGGTACTGTACTATACAGTATGTCTGTGTTCAGCGCAGAACTTAAAGCGACATTTTTCTCCAGCTGTTCTCTGCAGGTCAGAATATTTTTCTGTTTTGATTTGAGTACTGTACTACCTATCCAGGAAATTCTGAAACAATTAAATGTTTACACTCCTTATAATTTAGAAATTATACTTGAAGATGTGAAGGTCACTTAATGTCTGTGTCCACCGATACAGTGTGATGGACACAATTAGAGGTGCTCCAATAACATGTTGCCTACTGAAGGTGGATGTACTTACAATAGACCTTCATGCATCCTTTTACTTTTCAGTGTTGTTCCTGTTATTCCAGCTTGGAGTGTTTAGTCCTGCTTAATTGTATACTTCCTGTGTGGGTGTTCTGTATACAATCGCAGCTGACATGGAATTGCCTTACAGCTGAGACATGAACATCAGCCCACAGTCTGGGATAACTTGATTAATGGAGACGGACATGAGGCATTGCTTTCTTTTGCATACTCATTTCGATGCAAAATGTACAGCAGGATTAGTTGTTATACCTACTGAATGGCATTTTGTTCTGTATAACATTATATATCGAGTGATGTGCAGAACAGTCAGTGACAAGCCTGTGACTCTAAATGAAGGCAGGCATTTTCACCATGAGAGCAAGACATTTACTGGAGATGGCACAACCTGTTTCCAAAACATCAGTTCATTTTTATAATATCACAAAGAAACTAGAGTGTAGGAAGAAAATGAGCAAAATAATTACCTGTATAAAGAAAAGATTTTATTTTTGTCTAGATTTTTTAAAACTATTTTCCTTGACAGACGGCATAGCCATTCCTGGGCAGATGAGTATATCCCCCCACCAAAACAAAAACAGACAGAAGGTTGGAAAAGGGCTGCAGTGCCTAACCACAGTGGATCATGCATGTTCCCTTAGTTGGTTTCATAAAAGACAATTTAATTTCTAATCCTCTGACCTCTTGGTGTTCTTTTCTTTTTTTTATTTTGCTTTTTTGGATTCTCGTTGTATTGTTATCGCTCAGAGGGATGGCAGACCCCAGCTCCGGATCACTTGAAGAGCAAGCAAAGCGTAGAGGAGCCAAGGACAGCTGTGGAGAAATGCATTAATTGCTGAACAGGTCACCAGTTTACCTACAAAGTGGAAAAAAGAAGATAAGACAGAGAGAAGAGAAGAAAGAAACATTTTGTTTAGAACAACAAAAGAGACACAAAGCACATATTTCACCATATCACTATTAACTGACTGAATGAAATATTTGACTTCAAAACAACTGACATTAGCAAAGGGAAAAGGGTTGTGTTTCTGTCTTCCTCTGTTTGTTTACAATTAATTAATAGCTGATGACGATACTCTTATGCAGCACAGACAGACTGCAAAAAACACCGTCAGATGTAAGGAAAAACACAAAGGTTTGTTTCCCAGGTTTTGCTTAGTGATTCTTTTTATAAATATGCTGATTATCAGGGCGGAGGCAGAGAACTGAAGGGAACTCGAAAGGGAAAAGGATTCTCTCATGAGCCTCACCTTTCTCCACCTGCGCAGTGGCAATTACACTCTGGACTTTGCAGATGAAGGTGGTGTTCTCGGTCAGCTGGAAGCTGGTCATTGTCAGTCGGAAGCCGCTGTTTTCCAGCGGTACCACCCGGATCTTGTCCTTGAATTTCAAATCTGTTGTGCCTCCGGTGAAGTTGTTGGTGATGGGTGTCTCCTTGCCCGCTTTGGTCATGGAGAAGGAGTAGGAGCTCACCTGGTTGGGCTTGGGTGGGATGTTGCAGTCTATCCTCAGAGACTCATCCTCTTGGCGGCACACTTTGATGTTATTATCGCCGAGTGTGGGGGCCGCAGAAACTGGGGAGGATCAACAGAAGCTAGAACGAACTGACCGATTCAGTGTGAGGAAAAAAACAACTAACACGGACTGAAAGGTTCTTTCCACATTAACCAGGAGAGTAGAAGCAGGTGGCCATGTGGAACAACAGTGTTCTGAACTTGACTGGTGTCACATCCCTAGAGACTGTTCGGCTTTGATCAAGCTACCTTATATAAAATACATCAGCAACATCAACCAGATAAATTGGTACCATGCACAAGAAATTAGTATTGTAGTTAGAGCTTTTGGGAAGGCGCTTTGGACAAAGTTGTCACCAAAATAAGGTAAACAAACTGCAGACTTTGCCAAGGCATTTACAAGTGCAATTCATCTATTAATGTTCTATCTGCTACGTCAACTTCAGGGTCATGCAGAAGCTGGAGCTTGTCCCAGCAAGCAATGGGTCAGAAGGCAGGGCACATGCTGGATGGGACACCAGTCAGACACAGGTACAAACACACTCGCTTCAGGGCCAGTTTTCCCAGAAGACAATGAACTTACCAACATGTCCTTTGACAGTGGGAGGAAACCACAGCACCCAAAGGAAACCCACACAAACACGGGGAGAACATACAAACTCCATGCAGACAGCACCCCAGGTCTGGAATTGAACCCAGGGCCCCAGTGTGGCAATGGTGCATACATTTTTGAACATGACAAGCACAATCACTTGAAAATACCTTCATCTATGAAAGGTGATGTTGGAAGAAGTAAGAAAATAGTAATAGGTTTATTCCATGCTGAAAAAAAGAAGAAAGAGAACACAACGTTTCGGCCGTGGAGCCTTCTTCAGTACACCTGAAGAAGGCTCCATGGCCGAAACGTTGTGTTCTCTTTCTTCTTTTTTTCAGCATGGAATAAACGTATTACTTGTTCCTTTGCAGCCTACGCATGCTGACACAGCTACCCACCTGAAGTGAGAAAATGGCAACGGACAAAGTGTACGAGACAGAAAGCTTTCTTTTGTCTGCTCAGTCCGGAATATGAATTTAGTTAGGATTCCAGATACCAGTAGCAACTGAAGGCAATCTGTCCTCCTGTCTTCTCCTTCCTGAATTTCTGTTGCTTTATTATTATTTGTTGAAATTTTGTGTAAACAAAGAGCAAAGCTCAGTACAACCAAACATTTCAGATTAAGCCTACTATTGCATCATAAGTTAATAATCCTAAATGCATCTTACCTGCTAGAAAAACACCAAATATGAACAAACTGTTCATCTTGCTGTCTTTATGCAAAACTGAAAGAAATTGGAACAAAATATGTTACAGTTAGACATTCAAACATCTGTATTATCACGCATTCACCAAGCATGAGCCTATGCAATTTATTTTCTGCAGATATTGCAAACAGTCCAGGGAAGTACACTCAAGCACCTTTCAAACATAAGTTACCAACATATAGGTTTGTATTATATGAAGTTATCATGACTGAAATAAAAAAGCTGATTTGTCATCGAAACACTTTCATCAAAGCATTGCAGAACACAGCTTCTTAACACTTTCAAAATAAAATGTCAGTATGTTGGAAACTTGTTTTCCCAAGCTTAAAATGCTTAGAATTAAAAAGTTCCAGGCGATAGTTGCCTGAAACATGGACACTACACAACCCAAAAACTTATCAGACTCAAACGTCACGGTAGCTTTAGGCATAAAAGCATATATTTATTTCAAACCACCTCAGCAGAGACAAAAGCTACTGTAAACTGTATTTGCATCACAGCACACATTAATTGGTATTACCCGCAAAATAAAAATCTGTAGTTTCATCATTTGTTCTTGTAAAACTCCTTAAAACACTATGAACAATCTATCCTCATGGAAAACAAAAAGATAGTCATAGACACTGCCCCACTCTTTGTTTGTGCTGTCTGCTTTATGAGCAGTGCTTCCTTGCTGACGACCATTTTACCGTTTTCGTTTTATGTGTCTGAAGACATTTTGTAGCAATATGTCTGCATTTGATTCAACACATTTCTAGGCTTCTGTTCCATCCATGAGATAAATGTGTCCCGCTGTGCTCGTTGTGGTAAATGTGGGGTGCGCTGTATCACAATGGAGTTTCTGCCAGAAAGTCATTAGTTCCCACGTCTATCAGATCTGAGTTGTACTTAAAGTGTATTCCATCCCAGAGGACCCTTCCGACCCTTTGTTTAATGAATTCCTCCCTTCTAAACACAAATACAAGCTTCCTCAGTTTGTAAACAAATAGGTTTTAGTTCTCATTCATCCAGTATCTGTGGATATTGCCATGTACGTACAGGTATGTCGTTTGTTTGTGGGTTTTCTTCATATCGTCTGATGCTGTAAGACAAATTGCCCCCTGGGGGGGAACTTGGGAGAACAAAGACTCCCTCTCTCTCTCCGCGTGTGTCCCACAGCCAAGCAAGAGAAAGACTGCACTCACAACCTCCGAGAAAGTCCTGGAGGCCGGGAACAGAGGGACGCAGAACTCCAAACACCCCCCTCTGCACCAGCAGAGCCCGTGTTTTTAGGGACAGGAAGCCAAGT